GAGGTGACCCCGCTGTCCCCTCACCCCGCTGTCCCTCACCCTGAGGTGACCCCGCTGTCCCCTCACCCCGCTGTCCCCCCGCTGTCCCCCACCCCGAGGTGACCCCGCTGTCCCCCAGCTCGAGGGACATCGAGGTGTCCGGTTTTAACGGCACGGCGGCGTTCATGGAGGTGCGCGTTCAGTCCATCGTGGTGGAGTTCATCCTCACCCACGTGGAGCAGCTCTTCGGGGACGCCCCGCTCCGAGGTACCTGGGGGGGACACGGGGGGACACCGGGGGGACACCGACACCCCGACCTGGGGGTCTCCAGGTGGAGAATCCCCCCCTCATTCCCAGTCCCAGGGGGGATATGAACACCCCGATTTGGGGGTCTCCAGATGAGGAATACCCCCAAACATTCCCTGATTCCATGGGGGATATGAACACCCCGATCTGGGGGTCTCCAGGTGGAGAATCCCCCCCTTATTCCCAATCCCAGGGGGGATGTGAACACCCCATTTTGGGGGTCTCCAGGTGGAGAATCCCCCCGACATTCCCAATCCCGGGGGGGATATGAACACCCCGATCTGGGGGTCTCCAGGTGGGGAATCCCCCCGACATTCCCAATCCCATGGGGATATGAACACCCCATTTTGGGGGTCTCCAGGTGGGGAATCCCCCCGACATTCCCTGATCCCGGGCTGGGGGTTCCTGGTGGGACACCCACACTTTTTTGGGGTCTTCAGGTGGGGATTGCCCCTGACATTCCCTGATCCTCCCTGAGGGGACATTGGGGGGTCCCAGAGGGATATGAACACCCCATTTTGGGGGTCTCCAAGTGGGGAATCCCCCCAACGTTCCCTGATCCCATGGGGATATGAACACCCCGATTTGGGGGTCTCCAGGTGGAGAATCCCCCCCCTCATTCCCAATCCCAGGGGGGATATGAACACCCCGATCTGGGGGTCTCCAGATGAGGAATCCCCCCGAACATTCCCTGATCCCATGGGGATACGAACACCCCGATTTGGGGGTCTCCAGATGAGGAATCCCCCCGACATTCCCGATCCCAGGCTGGGCTCTCTGGGGTGACCCTGTGACGTTTTTGGGGTCCCAGGTGGGGACTGTCCCCGTCGCTCGCTGCTCCTGCCCGGGGGGGCTCCCCCTCTGCACGTCCCGGCCGTGCTGAGCCAGGGTGACGGCCCCCCCCAGATGAGACCCTACCACACCATCATCGAGCTCGGCGAGCACAGGTACGGCTCACCTGGCACAGGTGGGACAGGTGACACCCCCACCCCACCCCGGGGACTCCCAGGGACCCCCAAACCCCGGGCCTGGCTCAGGTGGTCCCAACTGACGGTGAGCCGGGTGTCCCCACACCTGGGGTGTGCTCAGGTGCCCCCAGGTGTCCCCCCCAGGTGTGCTCAGGTGAGCTCAGATGTCCCTCAGGTGTGCCCAGGTGTGTCCCAGGTGTCTCCAGGTGTGCCCCAAGTGTTTCCAGGTGTGCCCAGGTGTACCCCAAGTGTCTCCAGGTACCTCCAGGTGTATCCCAGGTGCCCCCAGGTGTGCCCCAAGTGTCTCCAAGTGTATCCCAGGTGTCTCCAGGTGTACCCCAAGTGTCTCCAGGTGCCCCCAGGTGTATCCCAGGTACCCCCAGGTGTCTTCAGGTGTATCCCAGGTGTCCCCTGGTGTACCCCAAGTGTCTCCAGGTACCCCCAGGTGTATCCCAGGTGTGCCCAGGTGTCCCCAGGTGTGCCCAGGTGTCCCCAGGTGTATCCCAGGTGTGCCCAGGTGTCCCCAGGTATATCCCAGGTGTATCCCAGGTGTCTCCAAGTACCCCCAGGTGTATCCCAGGTGTCTCCAGGTACCCCCAGGTGTATCCCAGGTACCCCCAGGTGTATCCCAGGTGTCCCCACAGGAGCAAGGGCTCCCTGAAGGCCAAGAAGTGGAGATCCATCTTCAACCTGGGCCGCTCCGGGCATGAGGCCAAGCGGAAGCCGGGGAAGGCGGAGGAGAAAGGTGGGAATTCCGGGGGGATCCCATGGACTGGGGGGATGTGTCCCCAAATCCCCCCAATCCCCTCTTCCTGCCCCGTTCCAGACAAGTGTGAGAAGGTCAGTCTGCGGCCGGCCAAGAGCATGGACTCGCTCAGCTCCGGCCCCTCCGGACCCCCAGGTAAGAGGGACCCTCTGACCCCTCGGGATTATCCCTCCCATCTCTTGGGAATTGTCCCCCTGACCCTTGGGAATTGTCCCTCCAATTCCTCGGGAGTCCCCGACACCAGGGAGGGACTGTCCCATCCCTTGGGATTGTCCCTGAGCCCGAGGTGGGATCTTCGGGGCAGAGCAGGGATGGGGGAAGTGGGGATGGGATGGGATGGGATCCATGGGATGGGATGGGATGGGATCCATGGGATGGGATGGGATCCATGGGATGGGATCCATGGGATCCATGGGATGGGATGGGATCCATGGGATGGGGTGGGATGGGATCCATGGGATGGG